GGGGGGTATGGGTGGGTGGGTATGGGTTTTTTGGGTTGCTGTGGATATATGTGTGTGGGTGTGGGTGTATGTGTGGTATGGGTGGGTATGTGGTTTGTGGGGGGCTCTGTGTGTGTGTGTCTGTATGTGTAGATATGGGGTGTGAGGAGGGGCACCATATGGTTCCTGGCTGCAAGGTGGGGCTCACAGGACTCTGGCTCTGTGCCTCCATGTGCGGCTCCTGGCTAGAGTGCCAGGAACCCCAGGAGCCAGCACAGCCTGATGGCTTGGGACTCCCCACAGTTCCTGGCACTAGTGCACCATCAGGCTGTGTTGGCTCTGTACAGGTCCCAGGGTTACAGCTGGGAATCATGTGCCACAAGGCCAGTCTGGCTGGCTCCATGCCATGCTGCACGGGTCCTGGAGTTTCATGCTGTGCTGCAGGGGTCCCGGGACGGGCTGGGTTGGCTCAGTGCCATGCTGCCGGGAACCAGGTGGTACCAGGAGATGCCCATTTGGCTCTGTGCCATGCAGCGTGGCACAGAGCTACAATGCCGAGACCCACACAGAGCCAGCCTGGCCCATCTCATCCTGGCCCAATGGTGTGAAAATCGAGTGCTGCTGGGCCCAGCCCACTGGCTCTGTGCTGCACTGCACGGGTCCTGGCATTGTGGTTGGGAACCACACAGCATGGCACAGAGCCAGTTGGCTCAGCTGGGCACTTCCCACCAGCACATATTTCCTGGATGCAATGCTGGCACCACAGACCACAGCAGGAGCTAGCCTGGCCTCTGTGGCTCCCAGCTGGATCCTAATGCCACCAGCCCTAGCCCTAGAGCCCTGCATTCCTGCCCACTGCTGCTTCCTCCACCCTGCCTGCCACCACTGCCTTTCTCTTGCCGCTTCCCTTTCTTCTCCACCCACCATCACTACCTCCCGCATCCGCCCACTGCTTCAGCAGCATGTGGTTCCCAGCTGCAGGGCTAGGACCACATGGTGCAGCAGGAGCCAGCTGGGAGACACATGGTGTTACCTGAGCCAGGCTGGCTCCTGCTGCACCAGCGATCCTTACCCCCCCAGCCTGTTCTTATCTGAGTTCCCCTCTTGGGCAAAGGGAGTCAGGGAACAGCTCCAGGTTCGCCAGGCCAGAAGCCTCTGCCAAGCAGTTGGGGGCTGGGAGTGGGGTGGGGATGGATGGGCCTTGCTGCTGCTGTCAGCTCCTCCTGGGTCCTGCTGCTGGTGGTGCCTTGTCATTTTTGACAGGCAGCCACAGGAAGATAGTAATGAATTGTCTAAGGTTTTAGGGGGCCTGCGGGCTGGATAGCATAGCCTGGTGGGCCTGATCCAGCCTGTGTGCCGTATTTTGCCTGCCTCTGTGCTGTTAGCACAGAGCAATAAACTCTGGTGCATATTGCACTGGAGTTAATTGCTCCTGGGTGCTGTGTTAAAATATAAGCTTGGGACTGCAGTATGTTGAGCTGGGTCGAAGTAGCCCTGGTTGACAGGGGACCTGGGGGGGTCAGCCTGCCAGGCTTGGGGAGGGTCAGCCTGCCAGCCTGGGGCTGCTCCAATTTGGCTCAACATGCTGTGGAGGGACTGGCTGGGGCACAAAGGTGCTGCAATGCAGGGCTAGCTAGCAGGCAGTCCCTGCACTGAAGCATTTCCGAGCCCTGGTCAGCCCTATCAGTGTCTACATGTATGCTGCTGTACACTAAAAAGCTCCGCCATAAGATAGTACTTGTATTTACAAGTACTAACCTGCAGTGGAGTTTCAGTTTCCTGCGGCCTAAAAGGGCCACACATGTAGACACTGACACTTTATTTTGGAGCTAATTAGGCAGCTCCGAAGTAAACATCTCATGTAGATGCACCCAGCAAGTAGAACAATAAGCAGGCTCAGCTCTCTAGTTGCTGCTACTCAGCAAAAAGATAATTTTTCTTGATTCTGCCCTTTAAAAACAAGGTGTGTTTCTTATCTTGGGGCAACCTGTGTGTGACAAAATACAATATATTTAAGGCAGATGGAATATTTACACCCTTTCAATCCAATTTCCTTAACTATCAATTATTCAAGAGAGATGTAAGTTCTCTCTTATTCAATTTAAAGGTAAAAAATAGCAAACTCTATATGAGAGTCCTTCCAGGTATTTTTCTCCCAAAAAGGGATTTCCCTTACTGAGGTTTTGCCCTTTGAAATGTAAGCCACAACAGTTTGGGATTGGCACCTCTTTCCAAATACACATTGCGAACTACATCTGCTTTCTGGCTAATCAACATGCATATCCATTCCAAATGCAAACTATCAGAGATCAACTTACGTTCTGGAAATCAGAGTTTCCCTCAGGTGCAAAAAACCTTTGTTTGGTTTAGGCATTCCTAACACCTAATTTAGAGATCACTCCTATTACTAGTAAAAGTCACAATTTTCAACTACAGAAATACATTCATATTAAATCCCATGGTTCATATTAGTATAAAAATGATAAAACTGAACAGCTCTTAACATTAGCTATAGAAAAACCAAACTCTGTATTAGTAAATCCAATTCATGAAAATATCTATGCATGACACACTAGTAACTCCCAAACCAATTCTGATTATCAGTAGGTTTGTGACACTATGCTAAAAACATTTGCAAAATGCTCAAACTAAAGAAAAGTAGGACTGGAAGGGACCTCACAGGATTATCTAGTTCAGCATTTCTCAATCTGTGGGTCATGACCCAAACGTGAGTCACAAGAATATATGAAAGGGTCACAGACAAACTGTAAAAATGGATCAACAAACTTTAAAACTGGCTTCTCTTCTAAAGGAGAAAAATGTAGAAAACCATGGCTTTTCCCTTGCAGGCTGTCAGTTCCAGCCTGAAAGGGGCTGCTTGGGGCCCTGCAGGCCTCTCCCTTTCCCCACATACCCACCCTCTGCCCCACACAGTAGGGGGAGGGAGGCCTGGGGGTGGGAGGCAGCAGGTTGGGAGTGAGGGGCACTGGTTTGGGACTGGCCATCTATGTTTACAAATGGTTCTTGTACAAAAAAGGTTGAGAACCACTGATGGTCTAGCCACCTGCTCAAGACAGGATCATCCCTGACTAAATCATCCCAGCCAAATATCTTTCCAATATGCTATTGAAAATTTCCAGGGATGAATAGTCTACAACTTCTCTAGGTACCCTGTTCCAAATGCCTGACCGCTCTCATTGTCAGAAAGTTCCTCCTAATCTCCAATCTAAATTTTCTCTGTTGCAGCTTGACTTCATTGCTCCTATCCTGTCCCCTATGGCCACAGGTAAAAGCTCATCTCTATCCTCTCTGTAAACTCCCTTCAGATACCTGAAGATTGTTATCAAATGCTCCCTCAGTCTGCTCTTCTCCAGACTAAATAACCCTAGCTCTTTCAGTCTTTCCTCACAGTCTTGTTTTCCAAGCCTCACAATCTTGCTTTCTGCTGGACTCATTCCATCTGTCCATGTACTTCTTGAAGTGAGGGTTCAAAACTGAACTCCTACAACTACACCTGTACTACACGTGAGGCCCCATCAGTGCTGAATACAGTGAAAGAACTGCTTCCCTTGATTTGCAAGTGACACTCCTGTTAATACAATCCAGTATGCTGTTGGCAGACAAGGTTCTTTGGGTGAATCTGATATCTTTATTAGACCACGCAAATAGTTGGAAAAATTCTTCTTAGCAAGCTTTCGGGTTTAAATACCCTTTGTCAGGCTGAGGAAGCATCTGCACTCCAGAGTGGTGTGCACTCTTCCTGGATGGAATGAATAATAAAGAAGCCAGAGGCTGGTCTGCATGCAAGAAAGCCAGTCAGTGAAGATGGAAATTGAGGAGTCAGTGGGTGAGAGAGAGGCTGGGGGTGAGGGAGGGGGAGGGGAATTAATGTAACTAGTAAATAGTGGAGAGATACCTTGATAGTCAGATGTTAGGCAGGTTATAATGTCTATTATAAATCCAATGTCTATATCTAGTTTACGATATAGACACATGCCTTCAATGCACCTTAAATTGGGCTAAAGTGCCTTAAATCAGCATGTGTAGATGTGCCCAATTTGATATTAATTTGAGAAGCAAAGATCCCACATGAAGGAGCATCAGACTAGATGCCAGATAGTGGCTAAAGTGGCTTAAGAAACTCTGCTGGCTTTTCTCTATTGCTCCTACTTGTTGAGACTGAGCAGCCTTCTGTCACTGCCTTCTGCCTCTCCCCAAATTTTCTACAGAGGCTGCCTGACCTCCTCGCATGTCAAAAAAGTCAGCATGTGGGTATTTTATACTTTGCAAACTGGCATTTATAGTATTTCATGGGAATTGGACATCCAAATGCTTACACAGGTTCAGAAACAGTTGCCTGTAATTCATTGTTGTTTCTCCATAGTTTAGGTTTAATCCTGAGGCTGTTTAAAGATACAGTGTGAACTAAAAGCAGTTTACAAGCTATGTTTCAGTCAGAAGTAGTAGTGTCTCTGTTCAGAAGCTAACCTCCTCTGCCTGCATGCTATGGAGATGATCTCTGGAGAGTTGAGAAACAGGCTGGTAGGAGTATGGTCTATTATGTGCAAACTGTAGGTCAGCATTTTATTGTTTGTTTGTTCTTAGGGCCAGACTTTGAGTATCAAAGGGGCAAGAATGAAGAACTATGATAAAGTGTACAGTTGTCTGAAGAATGTCCACACCAGCAGAATGAGAGGGATCTTGTAATCAGTACACAGTTACCTTCACCCCCCTCAACTGGGATAAAGATCAGACAATACCTTTTTCCCCATTTTTGTTGTTATAAAACAAAGAGAAGAAATGTGGCACATACCAGAATTTGCGCAAAACCCCCATTTTTCATCTCGTTCATACCGACTTGTGGTGGCACACCAGTGAAATTCCCTTCCATCCCTGGTACATTCATAATACCACTTCTTGTTGTACTGAAATGGAAAAATGCAAGGAAGACCAAGAGAATTTCCCATCAGGGTATATGTTTCTGTAATATAACACAGGGGATAATAGTAGAAATTACCATATTAATAATGGTAGAAATAAATGTTGTCAGTCAAATATTAGTTATGCACTTATATTTGATATCACAGCAATACTAAAATTATGGTTAGGGTACTATGTATTAAATTATTCTTGAAAATGTCTAGTTAGCTAAACCGTGGGTGCATCTACACGTGTGCTTTACTGTGGAGTTGAATAATTAGCTCCTCAGTAAAGCATCACCATGTACATGTATGCCAGTATTACAGTGCAGTAAATTAACTCCACCACAAGATAGTACTGTTGGAGATATTACAATCTTACGGCGGAGTCATTTACTGTGCAGAAACGTACATGTGGACAGTGACTGGGAATGCAGCAGTTTGAGCTGGTGCAGAGCAGCCCCAGGCTGGCAGCAGACTTGGGTGGTCAGTTACATGGATCCACAGTTTTGTGCCCCAACTAGATGCTCCACTGTTCAACACCACCACCCAGAGCCTGGGGCTGAACCCCCAAGCCTGCTGCCAGCCAGAGCTGCTCTGCCCTGGCTCAAACTGCTGTGGTCCTGGCTGCATGTGCAGGGGCTGTGCCCAGGAACAGCGGACTCCAGTGCAAACTACACTGGAGTTTACCACATCGCCTTAATGGCACATGTAGATGCATCCCGTTTAATTTTTCAAAACTTAAGACTTTAGTTTACTACACAAATTCACTCATGTGAGCTAATATGCATAAAAATGTGCAGTAATTACACATAAAATAGGTACGTTTTAATTATTCAGTTGCATGTACAAATGTAGCTCTTGCTCTGCCAAATGTCTTCATGTGTGTAAGTACTGTCAGGACTGTCAGGTTTTAATTAGCATATTGTTATTTGCATCTATTCAATAGCAAACAAGCGATATAACATAACCCCCAACAATTTTTATGACTTTTTGATCTTTTGTATTCTTTCCTCTGCTATTTCTCTTTTATACTTCTTCCTACTAGAATTGTAATGCATAATGTAAAACTAAAATGTTTTATACATTTTGACTTGGGGGAAAAGTGACCTGCGTTATTTGATTTCACTATCATCACAATTAATGTTTTTACAAAACAGCCAAGATATTTTTCCAAATATATTTAGCATAACAAACAAGGCTAAGTAGATCTGAAAGCTGCAAAGATTTTTTACTTTACTTCAATAGATCAATCAATTTAATTTCTAGCACCTAAACCAGTAAAGGAGCATCTTTTTTCTAAACCATCACAGTCATGCTTCGAGTAAAACTAATGGGTGCCTATACACGTGTTTGGGGGTAGTTGGGGGGTGGGGGTGTTAATTAGAGTGGTTCCTGGAGAGCTGCTCTAATTAAAACACCACAGCATCATGTGTGTTAAGTCCTTGCACATTTAAACATAGCCACAGGATGCTTTAACTAAAGCTCATCTGACACGATTTAGTTAAGGTGCCCCAGCAGCTATTTTTAAACCTGTGGGGGCTTATACATGTGATGTTGCGGTGATGCTAGAGTGTGCTGTGGTGATGCTAGAGTGTTCTAAGTAGAATGAGGAGCAGACTTGATTAATTGTGTACAGGCACCCAATGTTTGTTAAAAAAGATCCTCCATCTACAAAATAGGCACACCATGCACAGTGTTCTCCAGATTTTCCCATTGCTAATATCCCAATAATAGTAAAAGCAATTAATTAACTATACGTCTCTTTTAAAGCCTGCTGAAACTAACGGGCAGCATGAAAAATATGGGAGATACTGGTATTTGTTAGTGTTATATGCTCCTTTGTCTATTTGATTATGCAGTTTGCTATGTAGGTTCAAATAATTAATTTAGCCCTAAATATTTTTTAGCACATCTGCTGGGACCAAGAATCAGTGGCTGCAGATATCTTAGTCACCAAGACCTAAACAGAACAGGTTGGAAAGTTTATCCACTGTTTTCTGATCAACAGTTGCTGGATAGCACAGAGGGTAGGGGACAATCCAGTGAAACAAAGAACTTAAGGGAAGTTAAAGGACAAGCCCTGAAAACAGTTCACAGTCACAAGAAGGCAGTAGTTGCTGGGCTGACACTAACTGTCTTTTAAAAAATGTCAGGGTAGGATCATAGAAAATAGGGCTGGAAAGGACTTCTGGAAGTCATGTTATCCAAAACCCTGCCTGAAGCAGGATCATCTGTATACAAACCAATCCCATACAAATCCTTGTGTAAAGGATAATTTGGACCTATTAAAATCTTGAGAAGAATATTAAACTTAAGCAAGATAAAAGTGTATAGGTCTTTGTTTTTTAAACCTTTTTCCATCTGATGGCTGTTTCAATGGATAAATAAACATGTCTTGAACAAGCGGTCCTTGGTCACAGTATTTCACACCAATTAATATCTCCCAAAAGTAAGACTATGGCAATGGTCAGGCCCAATAGGCCTGCTTAGAAAACATCGTTAAGCTAGAATTCTGGAAGTTGGGTTGTAGTCAAAACACTGGGTGAATCAGGGAATTCCACTGAGAGCAACAACAAACACTGGCCAGTCACTTGAGTGTTCAAAGAAACTGAGCAAGGGGGTCAAAGGTAGTTTACTATGAACTGCAACAGACAGTTTTATCTCTTTGCCCTGAAGGTCTTTGTAAAAACATTGTTAAGATATCTGGATGTCTGAAGGGGCTCTGGCATATATTACACCTGAACTGCAGAGGTGTTTGAAACCTGGGCCTGGGCCTGGGTCCTGAAATTTGCTCTTAGCTCTTATTTTCACAATAGGCTGAACCTAAATTCTGGTCTCCATGCTCCAAAGTTCCCAGCGCTCAGAATCCACTTTCCACTGTTGTCAATACATGTTATATTATTACATGTATTATGATTTATGGATGATTTTAGAGACTACTGACATGCTTCAAAACAAACGAACTGATTGTGAATTTGTCTCTCTTGTCTACAGTTCTCTCTTTGACTGCTTTACTCATGCAGAGCAGACAGTAGTTCCCATGTGCCCTTGCACTTTGAGCAGGCACAGCATAGTGGGGCCACCTTATCGCTTACAACACAGCAACAGTGGTTTTACCCTTCCTGCCACTGCAGTGCAGTAAGTCTAGTAAGGGAGGGTGATTAAAGCAGCTGCAGTTTCTGGGGGACTGTACAGGCTGTGGCAGTTTGCCAGGCCTGGCCTGGGGAGAAAGGAACTGCTATACCCTGCTAGGAGGCCAGAAAGTACCACTGGAACTGCTTACATTTTAAATAACTAAAGAAAACTTTAAGTAGATAAAAGAAAACAAGGAGAAATATGGAACCTGTGCCTGATGGAAGGCAGAGAAGCTACTCTGCAGTATATGCATACATGCATTTTGTTTTTGCTTGAGGCTGGCTTTATATTCTAGCTTTTGGCCCTGAAGCCAGATGAGTGACGTGGGGCCCATCTGCGGGCTAGATAGGCTCTGCGGCCCAGCACAGTCCCTTCCCACTCTCCACACATTGGGATTGGGTCCCAAGAATCAAGCGCCATTCCCTTCTGCCCCCCCACACTGTGCCTGGGCCCTGGGGCCCAGCACTCTCCCATCTGGTCCTGTGTGCTCGGATTAGGTGCCCAATCGAAAATACAGGGCCCAGGGATCCCCATGGATCCAGAGTTTTAGCAGCAGGGGAGCACTCCCCTACTGCCAGATTTCCAGACCTGTGGGGAGCCCTGTGGACCAGATGACTGCCCTGCAGGACAGATCTATCTGGCCTGCAGGTTGAGCACCCTTGTTCTGCACCACCTGTGCACATACTTATGAGGGGAAGATGGGTTATGTGAATAATTTAGCAAACAGCACTAAATCAGAGCACACAGTTTGCTTTAAAATCCACTAATTTTTAATCAAATCTTATGGGGTGTTTGTAGTTCTTCTGGCAATTCTTCAGAGTGTAGAATTGGCAGTACTGGTATCTGGCTTCAGCTTTTACTGCTATATAATACTATAGATAAAAATACCTGCACCATGGCATCGCCATACCAATCAGTTACAAATGATCATGTCATTAATAAATTATATGTCTCAGAGAAACCCTACAAAATTCTAATAAGAAGGTGAATAGGAGTTAAGTTTTATTTTTTACCTTCAAACAGACGCTCACAGATATCTTCATCATTGGACATGTACGGCTTCCACTTATGGTTAGACATTCTTTTTGCCACAATATGATTGCCATTTTCAGCAGATAAATGGTACTGTGATGCACCAACCACCACCTTTCCATTACAGTTCCACCATAATGAATGCTGAGTAGAATCACATTCAAACATACTTAATGGTTGCTCTTGCTTACTGATGTTGAGTCCTAGGCAAGTGCTTGTGCCTATGTTGTAAAGATGACGATTAGAGACCCATTTCCACAACATATAGTTGGAATGTTGATTGCAGTCTTCAAGAATAAGTCTGGATGTATCTGCTTTAATGCAAAGGTTGTAGTCTTCACTTTGGATAATAAATATTCCTTTATCTGGGGGAGGGGAAAAAAGTTCCATGTAAATTTTGCAGGGCCATGGCCTTAAGTTGGGCCAACTGAATTAAAACTATTAACTGCAAAATTAACCTTCAAAATAGTATTAGAATCATTGGCAATTCAGAGACAACATTGTTCTAAATTTGTGGAGGTATATTTATAAAAAATGCTTAGCTATGCTTCATAACCAAATACAAAAAACGCCCTACACATGACATTTCTGAACTCTTTCGTCAAAACATCCCAAAGTAGAATTCTTATATAAAATAAAATTTTAAATATACAGGCCAAGACTTTCAAAAAAAGCAATGAGTGATTTCTGGTGACCAAGAAAGATGCTTTAAAACAGGATTTTTTTGAAGATGGATACTCAGTAAAAATCAGGCCCCTTTCATGTATTCTCAAGTGGATACCAACTGAGGCACCCAAGATTTTTAGTAACTTTTGAAAATCTTGGTCACAGTGAAACATTAAATATAGAAGCAAGATTTAAAATGTTACAGTAAGGGTAGTTGAAAGGAATGTTATATGCTAAAAGAGAATTCTTGTATGGAAAGAACAGGAGAAGTTAAGATTAAAAGAAAAATGTGGGTGAAGGTATCAGTCTCACATATAGGTATTCTTCCTTCTCTGCTGTCATCCAAGAGAAAAACATGTCCAGTATTATAAATGGGATGTAAAATGCTGATATTTCAGTTATTGGGGCTGATGCTCATGAATTGCATTACCCTTAAACTGCTGAATGCATAATTAACAACTATGTCTGAACTTGTGGATATTCCAGGCTTCATAGGTTTTTAAGACTGTGATCACATAGAAATTCACTTTACCATTTTAGAGCCAAATGTTTATCTCAGAACATCACTTGCATAATCAAGCTCTACATAGGGAGTTAACTGGGAAGTTGCAAAACACGGAGAAATAGAATAGCTGAGCTATTATCTTCTACACTGCAGTTACTAAAGTTAAATTGAACCAGGGAGTTCCTGCAATAATAAAATTGAGATCTTTAACACTTTTTATTTATTCCCTATCAAGAAGTTAAACATTTAAAACAAAATGGAGATAAGGATCTGATGATGTTGTATGCACACGTGTTCACATATTGTCACTTATAATCAATTGTCCAGAATTCTAAAGTGATAATATTTTCAAACAGACATGCAACTTATACACAAAAAGTATTTCTTCCACCACTGACACAAAACTATACAACAATTTTGGGCAAGTAAACCTGCATAACTGTTTTTATCCAACTACAGGGAAAATGGAGGCACTGTCGTTTTCCAGCACCCTAAACATTTTCTCAAATAGATGTTACCCTTTTCCTAAAGGCTATTGGTATACATGTCAAGGGTGCAGAATGGGCATGTGCTTCATATATGTATAGTGTAGAACATACTTGTACTTGTATTACATGAAGGACACCTGTAATGTAAGAATTTTATATTGGTTCAGTGAGTAAACATTTTACTATTTGTGCTGGGGAAGAGAGGCGAGGGAAGCTTGGTAGACTCTTGCCATACTAATATAAACCAGTAGTACTTGACCCTTCTGGGCTGTAGGCTCAGATGAGAGGAGTGGGCATGGGTCAGACCCTGTGCACGAGCCAGATCCTATGCAGTGAAGCCAGCTTCCCCCACCCTGGCCCCATGTGTGCGCCAGCCCCAGCCCCAGCCCCAGCCCTGTAAGCACTGGATTGAATCCACCACCTTAGCCCCAGCCCTGTGCATCAGATCAGGCTCACTGCCCCAGCCCTATGCTCCAACCCCATCTGGTGCACACAGCCATTATCATCTTACCCAGGGTTCTTGAAAATATGAAGGGAGGGTAGCAGTAGCAGTGTTAATTGCTACTGCTCCCTGCTGCCAAATATCCATACCTATGGGGAGCCCTCAGTCTAAATAACAGGCTCTGCATGCCACATTTAGTTCAGAGGCTGGAGGCTGAGTACCACCAATGTGAGATGTTTCTACTAATAGGGCCAGGGCAAAGAAACAAGGAAAACACAACCAGATTCCCTTTTTGCAGGCTGTCCTTCCCACTGGAGAAAAGAAGATTCAATTTACCTAAGCAGAGAATATGCTGAGCAAAATTATCACGGAATGCTAGAGAAGGGCTGAAAGGGACCTCTACAGGTCATATAGTCCAACTCCCTGCCTGAGGCAGAATCATCCCTATCCAGACCATCCTATACAAATCAGTCATCAATGGGTGGCTATTAGCAAACTGTCTGGTCATAACTGATGTTAAGTTCTCAGGGCTAGAGGCTTTGGAAAGAGTGCATCAGCCAGGCTGGACATAAAACCAGGCTCTGGCAGTTAAATACCATATAACCCATAGGAAGGCACAAGAAACAGCACAAATCATGAGTAAGTTGTGTTTGCAGTACTCTTCTTCACTATCTATCTACCTGCTAGCTATCTGTTACCCGTGGCTTATACTGGTTTAGGTCAACCCTCTTGGGCAACAGGCATATTTGAAACTGCTGTTATGCAGTTGCTCTCAGATAAGATATTTCATCCTGCATTATCCAATTGGCTGTCAACTACCACATATCTGTCCCCTTCAGTGTAGCCTCAGACCAAGGCTCTTGTCCTGACCATGCTCCTCTACCTACTCCTTAAATAATTTGTCCTAGTCCTGCACTTTTCTGGGCTAATCTAGAGAATCAGACATGTTATTCAGGTTCCTCCATTCACCCTTGCTCCCAGGTCTAGCCCACTTGCATAATGTAGTTAGTTTAAGATTAGGTGCTGGCCTGGTTCTTCTTACAAAATCCAAAACTGTGGGCAATATCACCAGAATGGCCTCTGCCTTTAGGCCTTGTAATCTGGGATATGCTGTCCTTGGCATCACTTTATTGCAATACAGCTACAGTTGGGACTAACTTAAGTCCCAAGTCAGTCCATACACAGCATTAATGTTCTTTAACACTGCACATGTAGATGCCGGCCTATTCCTGCTTATTGCACAGTAACTTGCTGCACAGTAAATTTAAGTCAGCATAAATGCATGTGTTAACACACCCTGTGACTCCCATCCTGAAAAGTGTAAAAGCAACTTTGACCAAAATGGTGGAGCTTTTTATGAACATAGTAAAGCCATGCTAGGGGGCGAAAAAGATTACTGAGCTTTAAAACAGGGAATTCTTTTGACTCAGAAAAAGGTCCCAGTAGGCAAGTGCCAAACTGCTTCCAAAACTATCCACAGTCCATAGTGACTCCCATGTAGCCACCTTCTAAAAGATGTAGGTGTGCACCGATAAATATATTCTTGACTGATACCAATTATTAACCAGCCAATACCAATCTGATAGCTGACGTACAGGAATGTAGCCCAGCAGCTTGGACAGCAGTGTCCAGCCAGTAAGTCTGTGGGGTGAAGAAACATGGTGGGGAGGAGGGGGGGCAGAATGAGGCCCCCCATGGTGAGGCAGGGAGGGAGTGGGGCAGGGGCAGGCGCTGCCCAACGAGGGCAGTGAATGCAACCCCACCAGGAGCAGGATGGAGCTGCAGATGGCTTGTCCACAGGATGCAGAGGGTGGGGTTCAAGCTTTTAATGAAAATTTAGTTTCCAAACAAGAATAAAA